CTATTTTTAGTATTATTATATAGGTATTAGGTATAGATATAGATTAGCTAGGTATATAGATATAGATAGATATATGAGAGCACATATATACTTACCCTCACGAGAAAAGGAATATATGTCGTCGAGAATTGTGATAGATACATATAGTACGTACGTGGTTGTGTGATCTCGACAAACGTTTAATTTGGACAGAAACAAGCACTAGAATGTATATAATTGCGGTTTGCATGCCCGACAGCTCCAAGAACATGATCCGTGCAGGCATGGCCCATATGGACGCCGGAGGCACGGCACGGATATGATCATTAGCGGTTGGGCACTAGTTTATGTCATCTGTTAAGCATCATTATTGGTACCGGACAAATCGTGTGAGCATTTGGTTGCCAATGCAGCTAGCTAAGAGGATTTATTAGCAAGCAGCTAGCTAAGAGGAAGGACGGGCGCATGCACGCGAAGTTTTGCTTTTAGGCCAGAGGTGGGCAGGAGAGCTAAGCTAGCAGGACGCCGCGCGCAGCGTCCGGTCCTCATGATTGTTGGATGAGGCCTGCCTTTCCATGCCATTTTGCTCCGTTCGGTGTACTCCTATTTTTGTTTCATTTTATTTTATGGCCTACAGATAGCTAGTACAATAGTTGTTATATATACTATATACTCTCTGTCTCCACAAAAGAATGTAACTATGATGTTTATACTGGTCAAACTAATTTAAGTTTCATTAAGTTTTTAATAAATAGTAATAATATTTATGACTTCAAAAATTTTACAATAAAATATATTTTATAACTAATCTAATCTATACTTATTTTATATTATAAATGTTAGTATTTTTATATAACTTTAGTAAAAAAAAGTTTAAACTGTTTGACTCCTAAAAATGAGAATTGGATTATTATGTGTGTGGACGGAGGAACTATGTAACAAGTAGTTCCTGCTTCAAGCTTCAACCTTCAATTGAGGTGTAAAAGCACACTTGGAGAGAGAAGAAAAAAAATCATTAATTATTCATATATGTGTGGTCATCACAGTCGTTAAATTCATGCATACAACTTCCTCACAGCCAGATTATTGTTTATGCAGATGCAGCTGCTGTTGGTGGTTTATAGTACGTATTAAGTTTTCAGTGCCATGAATTCTTCTGTGTAGCGTCCGTGACAGGGAAAAATAATGGGCCTAGCTAGCTAGCTAAAAAAGTATCATGATTTGTTTGGCTTTTTGCATGCATGGCTTGAGAGCGAATACGATGCGGGCCGCGGTTTATAGCATCTAGATACTACTAGTACCCCCTACGAGAGGGGTGGATAACACATGCACCTAGCTATATATACATGATCATCTATCGATGCAATAATAAACAGGAACGAATCAGGGCTAAGCTAGTTTATCTGCTAGCTTAGCTAGCTTACACACAGTAACAGAACTCTCCTTGCATGCATGATGCATGCAACGACGACTGATGGGTACGGTGCAGCAGCTAGCTTATCCCATTGATGTGAACAAGTGAACAATCATGCACGAGACGGGAGCTAGGGCCGGGCAAGCGAGCGGCCACGATCTATCGCTCGGCATGCACGCACGCCGGCCGGGCGGGGACAGTGCACCACCGACCCCGTCCTTCCATACGTTAACCACCCCCATCCGACTTTTTCTCGACCCGCTCCGTCTAATCCGTGTTCGTGTGTGATGTGCACGGCAGTGATTAGCATGTCCTAACCGTCACACAGGATCGGATTCTTCATCATCATCGCCTTCACCTTTCTCCCGTGTGAGGCCGACGTACGGCCGGCACTGCTTTAGACGTTGGATCAAACAATAATTAATAATATAATGCATCGTTATATTTAGGCTAGCTATATATAAAGCACTAGCATCGATCAGTGTACCTACGTACTCTGCTATATATATATACTTACTCCCATCTAGCGAGTGAAAGTAACCACCCTAGCCAATATATAACTAATCTCTCTTGATGGTGATATGATATATATATATATATATATATATATATATATATATATATATATATATGGAAAAACAAGCTTATAGCTAGCTAGTTAGCGGCTTAGAGAGAGAGATAAAATGGTAACCACCAGGAAGCCTAATATATATACTAATCTCTATATGCCTTTTAAGATGGTGATATCGACTGATACTACACGGATCATATCCATATCCATATCCTACTCGCCGGCCGGCTTGCCATATGGCCGGATTTCAATTACGAGCGGCGCTGCGCCTTCGATCACCACCAGGATTATACTAGCATACTAGTTAGCTGAATGTATGAGAGAGATCTATCAACTACACAAACTTTACTGAATGGCGTACGTCCATAGGAAGTACTAGCTAATACGGTGGAATATATGGGATAGACGGCAGGCAGGGGCCGGGCCAGGTGCGCGCATATATGCCTTTTAAGAATTTATCACGGGTCGGCGTCAAATCGACTGGAACTAACAGATACTAGTGCACTACACGGATCATATCCATATCCATCCATCCTTTTTCTGCTCGCCGGCCGGCTTGCCGTCGCCACTGGAAAAGGAGCGGCCGGGGTTCATGATTACGAGCGGCGCTGCGCCTTCGATCACCACCAGGATTATTACTAGCATATTATTATTATTATCCGTATATATGAATGTATGATCATCTACCATCTATTACGTGCAAGTGCAATTAATTACACGTAGGAATTTATAATTAGTTAAGGGAGTTCTCCTTCCGGTCCCAAAACAATGCAGTTCTACGTTTAGACCAAGTCAAATTTTCTTGACCAAGTTTATAAAAATTGTAGGAGTATGATGTTTATATATTATTTAATAAGTTTGTTTTTGTAAAAGTAATTTTATGGCCATTCTAACTATACTATTCGGTATTATAAATATATATTTTATATGAATTGAGTTAATTTCAACACTTTTTTATTTTAAAGAATCTATTTGTAGCACATAGCAGTATTAATTCGTGTTGGGGCGGCGGCGGCGGCGCCTAGAGAGAGAAAATGCACCGGCGCGGCGTGGCATGGCATGGCATTGCGCGTTGGAAGGCTCGGCGGGCAATCCATCCACCGGACCGGGGGGCGGGCCAGGCACCCCATGTGCGCTCATGTGGTGGTTTGCAACGCCCAGTCCCACCACCCACCACTTCGCTTCGCTTCTGTCCTCTCTCTAGAGCCGGCCTGCCTGTTTCTCTCTCCCTCTCCAACCCACCACCCGCTAGCTACACTGCACGTCTGGACGATCCGATACGTAGACAGCACCACCACCACCGCCATCGCCGTCGTCGTCGTCTCCTCCCAACCCAAATTGGATGCCCACAGAATAGATACTACTCCTACTCCTACTACATGCACGTTGTTTGTTTTCTCTCTCCTCTCCCATGGCATATGGCCCGTGACGTCTGCCTGGTTGTCAGCCTGAGCTGCCGCACCCGCACCCGCCACCGCCCGCTGGCCTAACGGAACGGAACGGGGTGGATCGGCGTGCGCGCATGTTACCCGTTGGTATGGTACCCTCGCTGGCAAATAAAAGTGCACGCGACGCCATGTGTTGCGCTCGTCTGCTCTCCGTCGTTTCATCCCCATCAGTTGGTCGTGTCATTAATAATCGCGTAACGTTCTGGATAGATGATGAATTTAGCGGGACGGGGAGACAGCAACAGCAACGTGATCATGCATCATATCAGTGCTGATAACTGGGATTAATTATTGGTACAGCCATAATAACTACGCAGAAAAGCCAGCCTTTTATTTCTATATATAACACTAATATGAGCGTTTCCTAATCACGCCATTGATCGATACACGGCACATGCGTGGACAATCTGCTGGCTGATCATGATCATATACTCCACTTTTCTTTTTCTATGTATGTTGATATATATAGCGTGGAAAATCCAAAATGACTTGTAATAATTAATTTGTAATCATCAATTACTACAAGGAGAGAGAGAGAGAGGCACAATACGGCCCTGTTTGACTTATTCAGCTTGTTTTTTTCAACTGGAACAGTATTTTTCTCTCGCAACAATTCAGCCAGAACAGTATTTTTTAGCCAATTCAGCCAAGTTTCATGCATGGTTGGCACTACGAATTGGCAGATGGAGAGAGAGCTGAGCTAGCTAGGGTTAACAAACAGCAACAACGAACAGATAAGATAACCCGGCCGGCGCCGTAGAAACCGGGGGATGCTTGCCGGCCGCTTGGAGTAGCTAGATGATTGGTCGTCGACCAAAGTGCTTTTGTTTTATTTTATATACATATATATCCCCCGCCCATCTCTCCCTCCATCACGTGATTCCATTTATCCCACATGCATGCAATGCAATACAGGAGTGGGGAGTTGTTGTTGATCACCTATCTAGCTCCTTATTCTCCCTCCTCCCTCTCTCTCTCTCTCTCTCTCTCTCTCTCTCTCTCTCTCTCTCTCTCTCTCTCTCCTCCCCTTTATTTACTTTTCTCTCTCTACCTGCTGTTTTTCATCTGTTCAGCTTGCACATTGCACTTGTTGCATGCACCACAAGAAAGAAGAAGAAAAAAAGAATCAGCAAAGGCGTAGTGTCTCTCTCTCTCTCTCTACTCTCTACTCTCTACTCTCTTTCTCTCTCCTCTGGCCCATGCACGCACATTTCCCTGACCGTGTTTGTTTTGTCTCTCGCTGTCAACTGGTATATATCATAGGACACCGGATCTTGCAGAGGACATTTGTGTCAGAGCCGTGCTCCTCTCCCTCTCTCTCAAGAATAGAATACTCCTAGCACTAGCATGATCACAGACAGAGGCAGGCCCCTCTCCTGATCCTCTGTGTCAGAGCCCCCCAAATCTCCCTCTCCTGTCTTCCTCGTCCTTAACCTCCCTAACCCAGTCACCCTCCCCTCTCTCTCTCACCTCCGCCTGCCTTTTAAGCGACGCGCCCACCTCCCACCGCACCCTCTCCCTCTCTCTCTGATCGATCATCCTTCCATCCCCCGCCCCTCCCCTCCTCCGCGCCGCGCCGGTCCCATTCATGGCCGGGAAGAGGACGACGACGGCGCGTAATCAGCATCAACCACCGCCGTCGCCGCCAAACCCTAACCCTAACCGTCGGCGCCGGGCCGCGGCCAGCGACCCGGCCCCGGACGAACGGCCGTCGAAGCGCATGCTGGCCTTCCACTTCCTCCGCGCGCTGGCCCGGATCCACAGCACCACCCCGGCGCCGCGCCGCCCGCGCACCATCCGCCGCGCGGCCTACTCGTCCATGGCGCGCGCCGCCAGCCCGCGCCGGGCCTGGACGCAGGCGCTGCTCCGCCAGGCGCGCGCGCGCAGGGTGGTCGCCAGGTCCTCCAGGCGCGCGGTCCTGCTGCGGAGGCGCGTCTCCGCCGCAGCGCCACCGGCGCCTCCGCTGATGCTCCGCGCCAGCAGCGCCGGGGAGACGTCGTCGGCGCCGACGCCGCCGCCGGCTCCGGCTGCCGTGGCGGCCCGGGGTCCGCCTCCGAGGCAGGCTGGGGATCCGGCCAGGGCCGACGCGCTCCGGCGGCTCGTCCCCGGCGGCGCCGAGATGGAGTACTGCAGCCTCCTCGACGAGACCGCCGACTACGTGCGCTGCCTCCGCGAGCAGGTGCAGCTCATGCAGAGCCTCGTCGACCTCTTCTCCGCCCAACGATCGTCGATCGCCCAACAACCGAACCAGTAATTAATTAATACCGCATGGTTAATTAATTCTTGTTCTTGCACCGTCGATCATACGCCGCCGTTTGTATCTAGATCATGATCATCGCATATCTCTTGTTCATGTCACACATGAGATGGATATGCATGATTAAGATAGGACATTATTGAGGAGAGATTATTATTGCTGGTACATATGTTTAGTTGGTAAGATAAGATTATTAGTAGGTGTATAGGTTGGGAACACACATGCATGGAAGATGGAACCACACACACAACAAGCAGCAATTGGAGGGAGAAGAGATCATTGAGGTAATTAATTGTAACATATATAGAGAGAATTGAAGCATGGAGTCACACATACACATATATAAGCTATTAGTGCAGTGCTTGCTGTTGGGTCAGATGATTGGGTATGCGTATATATGTTTGTGAAATTTGTGGAGCCATGTCATGTATCTTTTGTAGCTGTGTTATACACACACTTTTTCTGTCTTCCTCTTTTATGCATGTAGGTCGATCTGAATTGGGGAACAAGGTAATTACTGATCACATAGCATGGCATGGACCTTTACCATGAGTGGTTGCATGAATAATGCATGATGCATTCATATTAACATATATACTTTTATTTTTTCCTTCTAGATCTAGATGGTTGTTCGAGTTAGCTGTATACTAGCTATTATTCTTGTTTTTTTCTGGAGTGAGGTATAGGTGCGGCTGCCCATGTGTATGCATGTAGCTCTCTATATCTCTCTCCCACTACTGGTGGGAGAGCTGACAACTAGGTAGATGATGCTCTAGCTAGCTAGCTGTTATTTGCCTTGTGTGTAATTTGAGTGCTAGGATGGTGGTTGTGTTCAATTGGTTTGGTAGAGTGTTTCCTTTCTCCTCTCAAATTTGGGAAACTGGCTGGGATCCACAAGGTATAGGGCTGCTGAACTTTGAGCTCGAGAAGACATATGACTTGTAGCCAAAGGAACCAAAAGACATTCTCTCTACAGGCAGTTAGCATCTTTTGATTAAATGAAGGACCTCCCTTTTGTTTTTTCCCTTGGGAAATACATATTTTTTGCCTCCTCTCACCTTCAATCAGCTAGGCCAACTAATTATTCCCAGCTCCTTTTTAGGTGCCACCGTCTCTAAAGACTATTCTGTGTACTTGACTGTATCTATTTTTTCTCTTTGGTTCTTTCCTCATGTGTTATTCTTGGTTGTTGTCTGGCACATGCTTTTATTTGTTGCTTTCTTTGTGAGGTAAGAATCTGAAAGGCTTAATAGTGGCTTCTTCTGCTTGTTTCAACTGATCAAAGAGAAGTATTTTTTTGTGCAAATTGTGTGCCACTGGTGGGTAGGTTAAGCAGCATATATATCCGTGCAAATCTTATATTATAATATCATCATACTGCACATGCATATATAGTTCAGGCATTGCATTCATCATATACATTCCTTACAGATAAGAGTCTCCTTTTTATTTGTTTTATTTTCTCTTTGCACATAAGGTCCGTTTATCTATTGGTCCCCTTTATTACTCTTTTGGATATTCATTGTGCTGTCAATCAGGCATGCATGTTCATATATGTAAAAAACAAAGGATATTAATTAAGCTACTATAGATATGTAGACAAGGTATGTGCTATGTGCATTACACTTAATTAGGAGTATTAATTAGATAACTAATATGGCTGTCCAATTCGAACACCTAAATCAGTACTAATAACACTAAAATATGGTACTCGATTGAATCTATAGCTAGCTAAACCACCTTGCAATTAGCCAGCCAATTCTATGGGCCCACAAGGTTTATAGCTAGCTGTACTAATAATTTGCTAGCTAGATATATAGCCATCTTCCATTTATTAACATAAATAAATATACATAACACTATATGTTGCCCACTATAATAATGGTGGCAGGTCAATATTGTGTACCAATTCCTTAATTTGGAGGCTTCTATACCAATGCGACAAAATATATACTCATTTCATCTAGTCTGCGCTCTGTCAGCTTATTCGTGTATGCACGAGCTAATTATTATGTTTTTATCTGTTGCACTGCATAGTGGGCTAGTATTCAAATCCAACAGAATATCTAACTATGAGAGCATTTTAGCATGCTGTGAACGAATTATATGAAGTTTCCATTATGCATGCCAAATTATTTGTTTTAATTCCTTTTTTACATATGTGCTAACACAAAAAAAAAACTGCATCTTCATGGGAAGCGGGTTTTCATAAGATCCATTTCTTTATTTATATATAATATGAACAAGGGAGCATGTCATACCAGCTAATAGTTTCAAGTTAATGCAGCTACCACATGATTCTAACATTTTAATATATGGTTTCCCACAATATTTTATTTTGCATATATGTAAACAGCCAGTAGTATAAAAAAAACAATGCACAAAACAATTTCTAGCGGCTATATATATGTGATGCAAAGTATAGTAGAGTAATAAGAGTATATATATATATATATATATATATATATATATATATATATATATATATATATATATATATATATATATATATATATATATATATATATATATATATTAGCATCTGTTTTTTTTTTGTCACATCTGGCTCAAGAACTGATAGATGATCACCCCTACACAGCAGGAGGAATTGTTCGTCTTTATATTTTTTAAGCGAGCTAGGGAGTTTTTTTTAAGGGAATAGGGAGCTTTCGAACCACCTTTGAGCTATCATTAATTATGGGTAAAACTATTCCCTAAATGTAAGCGATATAGATAGATCATTAGAGCCGAGGGTAATAATTCAAATTGGTTCTCAAGTCAAACTTCATTTTTTTCTGTCAAGTGTTTCGTTGTAGAATTTGCAGAACGCACGTTACAGTTGTCGCCAGCTAGATGGACAAACTTGTTCCATGAATCCTGTCAATTGGAGATTGTTCAACATCACAAATTAATTTTTATGGACCATGGTATCCGTTGCCTTCTTCTGATCTAATAAGGGCCTTTCCATGCATGTTCCAAATGAGGTTCAAAATTGCAAGAAAAATGTATGAAAAGCTTTCGATCGGTAATATCTGTCATATATATACATGCTCCATATATGAAGCTAGCAAGTTTGCTGCCACTATATAAGCCTGACTGTTTTTCTCTTTTCCGGATGAGAAGCATGTGACTATGTAAATGCTTGGTGTTTTTAGCGATACATATAAATAAGATGCATGCCATTTTTTGCATCTAAGTTGAACAAAAAATTGGGATACCTTGCAACATATAAATAAGATGACACGAGCTCTGGTTTCAGATGTTACTAAGTTCTCCATTTGTCCTTGCATTCGTTCTCTTACAGGGAAGAGCAATGTTTTGGCGTTAGGTGTTTGGGACATTTTTTTTTGTCACCTATCTATGTAGCACGGGTTTACTAAAAAGAATTTCCGGTGCAAACTATCCTAATATACTACTACCTACTACCTTACAATTATATCATGAGACAGATGTTAGTACTAGGTTCTCAACTTTGTCGAGTTAATGCTCAATTTTTGCATGATGATAAAGCTAATTGGAACTTCTAACCATCACGTTTATAGGTTCCCGTCAGTACCTTTTTGCAGTCTTTCGTTTTGCTGTCTGGTTTTTATAAGATGTTTCTTTGATCTAAAACTCTTTCGCTTGCTTTTGTTGCGCACGAGATTTTGTTCTATCTCTACAAGAATGAATTTGTTTTATGCAAGTCTCTGATAAGGTCATATGAATTACTACACGTACTCCTATTAAGATTTTGTTTGCCCAAAATATAGTAGAGATGTATACGCTACGGAATGTTTGCAAGAGAGAGGATCCACACCTCTTCAAAATCGAGACATGCAAGCACGGGCATGTACATCGGTTTTCTTTTTGGAAGATGCAAGTACCCATACTAATAAGCACATGTCGGACCCCTGTATCCACATTTGAGCATCTCCAACAAGAATCCTAAACAGGGTTTCTACTCTATTTTTTTTATGCTAGAACAAAAAAAATCCAAAAAGGCCCTAACCCAAGTCCCTACTTTTTGGAGGCTCTCAAATCTCTCCTCTCGGCCCCATCTCCTAGGGGTACATAGGGAGGTCTCTACTTTTACCTAGGAAATATTTCCCCACGACAATCCATTCCACTAATACAGAAATGATTTTTAGAGGCGCCTTCATTTTCTAGGGACGGTTCTATTAAGAAATAAATTTTTAGGGACGGTTTCATTAAGAAATCCGCCTCTAAAAATATATTATTTTTAGGAGCGGTTCCGTTAAGAGAACCGCCTCTCTGAAATGCTATTTTCAAGAACGGTTGCTTATGTCAACCGTCTCTGCAAATGAGTGATTTTAGAGGCGGTTTTATTAAGTCAACCGCCTCTGAAAATCGATTTTCAAGAGACGGTTGACTAAAATAGCTGCAACACAAATAAATTCATATCTTTTTAAAATGAAGTTGGATGAAGACAAAATTTATATAAAAATTGTAGAGCTCGATGAGATCTAAAACTTTATAGTTGATAAAATTTTTGTTTGGGATCATTTAGGGTTCTAAATATATAAATTAAGTCTTAGATTTTGAATTTCAAATTTTTGAATTTTTTAAATGATCTTGGATGGAGAAATATTCTATATCAAAGTTGCAGTGCTCGATGAGTTCTAAAACTTTGTAGTTGAAAGGTTTCTCATTTAAGATTATTTATGAGCTAAAATATTGATTACAAGATTCATACATATTAGTATAAATAGACAGTATCGTAGAACTAGACATAAGTGACTGCGTGGTGCCGTGGTAGGGGAGGTTCGAGCATGGGAGAGGTTATGGGTTCAAATTCGGGTGTCGGCACTTATTCAAAACAAGTGAAAAAAAAACCGTGTGAGCTGTGGCCGGTCCTTAACATTAAAATTTTTGTTTTCTTATTTTTATTAGACTCTAAATGATTTTAAAAAAATTGAAAATTAAACCGCCTCTGAACTTAAGACAACTGCTTCTGAAAATCACTCATTTGTTCAATCGCTGGCATAGTAGCGGTT